AAAAAAAATCAAATTTTTCATTTTTACGAACGTTACAGGGTGCTCAGAAATGTAAATTTTGCTCCTTTAAATTTTTCTGAAATTTTGATTAAGCGGTCCGGAAAAACCGTTCGATAGATCGATCTGCCCATTTACGGAGCTTTTGGGGGTACATCGAGGTGTAAAAATTCGTACAAGCATTAGACTCTCCATCGATATTAGCAAAGATGCGGTCGACTTAGCAAAACAAGTCAAAAAGTCACTTTTTTTCACTTTTTTCAAGTTAATGTCGAGGATGAAAGAAAATTTTTTTCTTCCAAGAACGCTACATAGCCTTGTAGGAGCTTTAATCGAGATTTAGAAACTGCCCGTCAATTTTCTGTCCGATCATTAGTTGCTGAGATATAGATGGTTAAAGCCAAAAGGATGCTTTTGTATTCGTAGTCGAATATCTCCGGGTCAAATTAACGTAGAGAAAAATTTAAAAAAAGAAATTAAAGCTGAATGAATAGGCTATCAAGTCCATATCATGATTTTTGTGTAAAAAATTTTTCCAAGTCCGTGGACCGAGAAAAAAAACGCAAAAAATTGAAAAAAAAATTGTTTAGTCTTATTTCTTAGAATTTCGCGATGACTTTCGCTCCTAAAAATTTTGAGCTAAGAAATCTGGAAACTAGACATTCGGCGCTTTAAAATGCTTATTTTAAAACCTTGATACGACCATTTTTAACTGAGATACAGCACTCTGAAAATTCACTAAAAATTCGAAAAATTTTTTTGCTCCCTTAATTGTTTGCAGAAGTTTATTTGAACCAAGCGTTCTGATATTGCTGACAATAAATTGCGAAGAACTTGGATATATAATGTAGAGACAAAATTAAGTTCAAAGGCGTTGTCCATCTCCAAAAAGGTACGTACATAATCTTCATCTGAAAAGCTTGTGGTCATCGATTTTGTGACCAAGTAGGAATTAGTTTTGATGACAATGCCTTAACAAAATTACCTACAACTATTAACCAAAAAAGTCTTTCTCTGTACCGTATTGTCCAGATTTGGCCTCGTCTGACTTGTTATGTTAATTTCTTATAGGAATTTATTGTATCAATTTGATATTCGGGTGCCTGACAAAACAACCAAATATGTACGCATAAGGTGAAAAAGGTGTCTGTTGTGTTTTAACGTTCTATTTGTGCATATTATGGAATTGTCTAAAGTAATATGAAAATGTACATATGGAAACGCTTCTAAATTAACACTTCCTGATTTTCGTTTTGGTTCTAGTTAATTTAATTGACACTCCGTTTCGCGGAAGGAATTCGTTTCTATTACGATAGGATTTTCTCTTGTTTGTTTAGAACGTACATTATGAGATGTATGTAGTTATGAAGACAAAATGTGAAATCTACATGTTTGTGCACTGGATTAATACGGACGAAGGTAAATTCCACATATATGGAAATTTGAATGGAAAAATCATTTGATATTGGGATATCTACCTCCACCTTCACAGTTCTATAAAGAAATTACTGTTCACTAAATTACCCAATTATACTCTAATTCAACTATCTCTTTAGATCTTACAATTGTTTTTGGAAATAATTATGTTATCGTATATCATTTAAAACACACTGTATATCTTTTATTTGTGACCCGTGGTGCGAAAGAGTCTTATTTTGAGCATTTATTCGAAGTTATAATAATAATAAATGCAAGTGTTATTAGTGAGAGAAATGAAATTTGTCTTTTTGTCCTTAATAACACGGGCACACAAAAAACGAAAAAAGTCCAAATCCAAGAGAGCCACTTATCATTTCCGAAGGAATTAGATGCGCTGAACAGATCCTGTAATCAAAATTCATGACTTGCCGATGATTTTCGAAGAATTTTTAGGTGAAAGCGCTCCAATATGGGTTAAAACTGATTTTTTCCTAAATTTTGGGCTAGTTTTCACCCAAATAGTAGATTTTCTGAGAAATATCAAGGTCATTTTTACTAATGACATCGTGTTCAACGTCTCAAAATACTAGGGAAATGACTTGGACTAAATTTAGGAAAAAATCAGTTTTGACCCATATTTGGACCAGTATTCACCTAAATAGTGGATTTTCTGAGAAATATCAAGGTCGTGGGTAACTTTTACTAATGACATCGTGTTGAGCGTCTCAAAATACTAGAAATATGACATATTTGGAGGAAATTTAGAAAAACATCAGTTTTGACTCATATTTGGACCAGTATTCACCTAAATAGTGGATTTTCTGAGAAATATCAAGGTCATGGGTAACATTTGCTAATGACATCATGTTCAGTGTCTCAAAATACTAGGGATATGACATATTTGGAGAAAATTTAGGAAAACATCAGTTTTGACCCATATTTGGACCAGTATTCACCTAAATATTGGATTTTCTGAGAAATATCAAGGTCATGGGTAACTTTTACTAATGACATCGTGTTGAGCGTCTCAAAATACTAGGGATATGACATATTTGGAGGAAATTTAGAAAAACATCAGTTTTGACCCATATTTGGACCAGTATTCACCTAAATAGTGGATTTTCTGAGAAATATCAAGNCGTAAAATCCTTAACAAACCATATTTAGGTAGGTTTCGTTGAAAGAATTAAATATTTAGCCGATAATTGATAATAAATAAATTACTTAATTTAGTACCACAACAAACACTAAAAATCAAAATAACTCGGAACCGCACAGGAATTTCGAGACAGAAGAATTTGTTAAACTATATGTAGATAATGAAAATAACAGTTTAAAAAAAAATAGTCATTGGCGTAGAAGTTTTGTTTAAGAAAGGGGTTGAGCACCCCCTCCACTCCGCCACTGTGCAAGTTTTTGAACATTTTTTATGCCCTTTAATTAATAGGAATTATCTCCCAAACATGAAAAAAATCTAAGCATTCGTTTATGTTATAATGAATATTCGAGAAAAAAAATTTATATTCAACACCATGTATCTCGTAAACGAAGCCTTCTACGACATATGTTTATAGGAACTTTTCTTTTTAAAAACATGTATTCTATCTTCTGTTAAAGTTTGTCTACAAAAAACTGACTCACCCTGTATATATGGAGAAAGGGACACCTATCCTGCACTTATATTCAGCACCGTGCTATGAAATCGTTAGCTTCAAAGCTCTATATCTTTAAACCTACCCATAGGATCGTTATGGGCCCATGACAACTTTTGCTCAGGAAGGTGAGAGCTATATCATATTTCAATTTCAGCCATTTTGACCGAAAGCCAATTTCCATAAGGTTTGTGCGGGGTCCTTTGGTAAGTATAGGAAATTTTATTTCCTTTATGTTGGCAGTTAAATTTACATTACATTAAAATACAACGTTCTCTTTCACAGGCTGTGATTGGCGTAATTTTTCACGAGATTCTAGTTAACCAACAAGCGATCGCATTATCTCGAGCGTAAACGTAACAGTTTGTTATTGTTCATTGTAAACGAATAGTTAATATCGTTGAGGTCAAGATTTAGGGAATTTTTGTTAACCCTGCAATGGTGGATGAAAGTTCTGTATAAGTAGTCACCTGTATTCCAACGGGTAAGCCATTTTTGTCAAGGCCGCATGGTACACTTGTGGAAGGGCAACCAAATGTATTGGCAAGTATAGTGTAAGCAGCTGTCGTCGTTAAAAAGTAAAATTGGTTGTGTTTGCCAGCAGTGGTGTACGCACTGGGATAAATAAATACACCATTATCCCCCAAAGAGTCCTGTTCAATAAAACGGTTTTTTTAAGTTTAATTTATATTACGATTTCATATAAAAACTTACTATAAACGTCTTTTTCAGTTGTGCAAATTCCATGGTTCGATCGGAAACAAACAAATCATATATTTTATTTACTAGTAAATAGTGCAACAGATTCGGCGTATATCGGGATTGACCAAATAATGTTTTTATAATTTCTGTAAATATGTTATCGTTTTCCTAAAAGAAATAAATTTATAATCGTTTGAAAGTATTGTTGGTTACATGTGATGGAGAGAATAAATTTTTTCCATTTTAGACATTTTAGCAGAATATTTAAATATCTAAAAAAACACTTACTCCTTTTAGGGGATCTGGTAAGTCCTTAATATTAAATATGTGTTTACCGCAACAGTTCAAAGTATACTTTAATTCAAATTTATGATCTTTGACTTTAACTCCACATTGGCTGCTTAGATATTTCACGGCATCTTGTACCGCTGCTTTGATTTCGCTTTGGACTCTCGTCTCTAGAATGGAATCCGTACCTTCCATGAAGAAAACGTTTATTTTGTTGAGATCTACCTAGAAGAAATGGAGATAGAATTAACAAAGTAGAAAAGTTAATGAATTTTGGATCATCAGAAAACACTTCTGGCATTACTAAAAATTGATATCCAAGGTGGACAGTTACCTACTTTTTGATTTAACTTCAATTGTGTGGCTTGTTTATCGCCCACTAAGATTTTCAACATCAACTTGAGATCTTTGGCGTATCTAGACATAGGTCCAATAACCAAACAACTCTTAAATTTCTCATCATAACAGTAGGGAAAATGGCCTTTTAATGAGACAATCCCTGAAAAATAGATTATGTGTATATCTAATTAATTTATACATACCTTATGTTTATTAGTAAGGAACAATAATAATCACTTGGTGATAGTTAGAAACTTGAAATCACTTACTTGCAGTTGGCTTGTGTCCAAAAATTCCGTTGTACAGTGCTGGAATTCGGATAGATCCCGCAATATCGGAACCAATTCCGATAACAGAAGCTCCAGCTCCAAGTAAAGCACCCTGAAATATATTTTAATAAACTCTACAATTCTAGAGTAGGTAATGTTGCAATATACTTAAGTAGTGAATTCTTCAAAATAAACGAAAATACAATTATTTGTCTATGAGATATATTATTTTCTGAAGGTGCACCAAGCAACTCACCTCTCCCCCTGAAGAGCCGCCGCTTGTACAAGTAGTATCGTAGGGGTTGTTTGTGTAGCCTGTGATGAAATTGCTTGATTCCAAGCAGCAGCACATTTCGGGCGTGTTCGAAACTAGCAGAGGAATCGCCCCACTGGTCTTCAGTCTTGCAACAGCTTCTCCATCACTTTCTGCCTTATACCCACAACGATTCAACATGCCTACCGCGTAACTAAGGCCTGGAAAATATTTGGATATGGTATAAGATGGAATAAAACTGATTTTTTGCTGATTCACTTTCTTCTTTCCTTTTTTTTTGGCAATATTTAAAGTACTGATTCGTGATTATGACATTTGTTATACCTATTGCCTAAATATTACTTATTTCTGGCATAATTTTAGTTTCTTTGTTTGCCAAGTGTGAAATATGAGGGAGCTTAACAAATTAATTTTTAACAATGAAGATTGATTATTATATTCAAGTTAAATATTGGTTAAGATTTGCGGTGGAGTCATCAATCTTCTGAAGGCGATACAAGAAGAGGCTTTCAGACGCAACCAATCCTGATGTTGGCAGGAGTTTGAAGGTAAATTGGTAAGAATTAAATATAAACTTCTGCAAACAATTAAGGGAGCAAAAAAATTTTTCGAATTTTTAGTGATTTTTCAGAATGCTGTATCTCAGTTAAAAATGGTCGTATCAAGGTTTTAAAAAAAGCATTTTAAAGCGCCGAATGTCTAGTTTCCAGATTTCTTAGCTCAAAATTTTTAGGAGCGACAGTCATCGCGAAATTCTAAGAAATAAGACTAAAAAA